CCCCCCCCCCCCGCAACCTGCCCTGACGCCACACTGGTTGGAATTCAAACTGGTCCCCATCCCTCCGCCGGGCCGGGGCAGGGATTGGAGTGTGGGGAGCTGGTTTGCTCCCTGGGGAGGGATCGGGCGCTCCCTCGAGACCTCAGCGCTGCTGCCTCGGACGGGGCCCTAGGGGGAGGAGAGGGGAGGGGAGGGAGGGAGGAGGGGTTCCCCCCAGAGGGCTTTCCTGCCATCTGCCGCTGGGGTCTCCGACACGCCGGTCCTGGAGTCCAAGGATCCAGCACTGGCAAACTGTGGGAGCTAGAGTTGCTTAGGCTTCTCCCATCCTGGGTTAACCAGCAGGTAAGGGTGGCAAAACTAGGCATAGGCCCCTTGCCCTGCCCTCTCCCTCCTTCAGTGGAGAGAGATGGAAGTGGAACCAGGGCTACCCGACCTGCAAAACCTAAGCCAGCAAATCTGGATGGGGCTGGGAGTTTCACCTCTTTCTGGCTTCTGTGGTTAAACCTATCACTTCCTTCCGGCCCTATAGACTCTCCTCTACTCACCACTTAGACTTAGCGTCAGAAAGGAATTGGGAAACTTCCTTCCCCACTCCTACAACAACACAAAACAAAACTGCGAGCAAAAATGTCAGTGATTACCTAGGGGTGAGTTCCTGGCCCCACAGAGGGCCTGAGCTTTTGAACGCAGAAGTTACCAGTTGCAGGCAAGCATCTTTGTCCCTCTAAGGAACTGCTGCCTCCCACCAGGGACACTCAGCTAGCTAGCCCCCATTCCAACCCCCTACTGTGAGTTCCCTGTCTTTGCTCATTTGGGGAAGGGGGGTCTTCCCCTGGGTTTTCCCTGGGCTCTTGCTGCCCATCCTTGAGGCTAGTTCTGACTCCTAGGCAGCAGCTGGGAGGCTGTCAGAAACCTTACGGGGCTGCAGAGACCTTGGTGATATGTGTCTTTCTCTTCTGTTTCTCTTCTGCATGGCCTCCCTCTCTACCAGCACTGGAAAGTCCTGTTTGATCAGGTATGTGAGCAGTTAACAACCTCCCCCCCCCCCAGTCCTCCCTGAAATCAGTCTCAGTCTCCCTGCTTGCGTGGGCTTCCCTAGCTCTGTGCTCCTGAAATGATGACGTCAGGTGGGGGCGTGGTTTGGTGCATCTCAGGCTGAGCAACACTGTGCTCCAGGTATCAGGAGGAGGCCTTGGGCTCCTCTGAGAGAATCCCTTCCTCCCTCCTCACAACTCCTGCTGTACAATAGCTGGGTTTACACAATGTAGAAATTGTACTGAATGCCTAGGAAGTTTTCTGTTGCAGCAGGAGGGAAGCTGGAGAGGTGGGGGATGGGTTTAGGTTAACCATCTAGCTGCCTGTCTTTCTACCTACCTCCACCATGGAAGGTCCCTGGCCATCACTGAAGTGGAAAATCTCTGCCATCCTTGAGTGGGGGGTAGGGGAGCTGATTTGGGCTTTAAAGATTGATTTTGTTTCTTTAGTTCTGGGCTACCAAAATGGGGAGGGCTGAGAGGTTACAAGTGAAAAATACCATGTGATTACTTGCAGTGCCTGGAGTCTTAATGTAGGGAATGGAATTGGGAGTGCCATGTGTTGGCATTGAGCCGGAGGTGGACATTTGACCTTCACCAAGGAAATGATTCTCTTTTGGTTCTCAGGTGCTACTCTGTATTTCCTTTTCACTCTTTAACCCATGGTGCAGGAGCGGGGGAGGTAGGAGATATCCTAGTGTGAGGGAATAGTGAACACTGCAGTCCTGCTGTGGGAATGATTGTACCACGAACTTTGTGCAGCTTTAGGATTATCAGTATATTTGGACCAGTAGAAGGTGTTGGGTTACAGAGAGAGAGAAATATGAAAAAAGGTGAAAATATGATCCAAATCTCTGCTATAGTCAAGGGAAGCCTTTGAAAGGTTTTTAGCAGAGTTGTTTGGGGATTGTAGGGATGAGAGAAGCTAGCCAGGGGCTTGCTGCAGCGAATGGAAAGACGTATCTTGTATTAGTCACCTTTCTGTGACTATAATAAACACTTGAGACAGTCAGATTATGAAGAGAAAGGTTTGCTTTAGCTGATACCTTGGGGGGTTTAAATCTGTGGTTGCTTGGCCATGTGACAAGGGAACATATCATGGCAAAAGCTTGTGATACAGCAAAAGTCATTCATCTTATGGCCACAGCACATAGAGGGAGAGACTAAGGTTCCACCGTCTCCTTTAGGATACATCCCTGGTAGTCTAAAGACTTCTTTCTTAGCCATCTCTTAAAGCTTTCACTGATTCCCAATAGCTCCAAGCTGGGGAGCAGGCCTTTAACATGTTAACTTTTGGGAGACACTTATCCAAGGCATGGGATACCTTGACTTACAAGGTGATAATGAAAAAGTAAAGATAGAAAAAGTGTAGAAAAAGGAGAATGGGAAGATAGTTAATGACCTGGCTAGCTGAGAGGTGCCACATATCTAACAGATTTTGAACTTACCAGGAAAGGGAAAAGTAGAAGTGGGGGAAGGGTTGGCAAGCAACCTCTGGCTCCAGACAAGTTGAATTTGAGGAGCCAGCTAGATGTAAAGGCTTGAATGAGACTGAACACCTGGGATTGCAGGAGGAAAGACACAACAGGTCTCGGGTGAGAATTTGGGGCTAGTTCTGCATGAGGGCTGGCCGTAGAGCACTGATTATCACTGTCCTGACAAGAGAGAGCATCTCTCTTAGTTTCTAATGTCACCCACTCTCCCTCTGGCCCCCAATGAAGACCAGCAACCGCTGGCCTGCTACCCTGAGGCAGGAGGGAGCTACACTGCCACTACGACCAAGCAGCTAGCCCTTCACACCTCCTGCCAAATTTAGAATCAGAACTTAGAACAAAGTGTATTGTGCTTTTTCTTTTCTTTTCAGTCCGGTTGTAGGGCCTGAACTCTGGGCCTGAGCACTGTCCCTCAGCTCTTCAGCTCAAGGCTAGCGCTCTACCACTTGAGGCTCAGCGCCACTTCCGGCTTTTTTCTTTTTTCTTTATGTGGTGCTGAGGAATCGAACCCAGGGCCTCAGGCATGCAAGGCAAGCGCTGTACCACTGAGCCACCTTCCCAGCCCCTTGTGCTTTTTCTTTATGTCTTTCACATTTGGCTAATTTCCTTTGCCAGTTCATGTGTATGTGTGTGTGTGTGTTTACATTTTTTTTGGGGGGGGTCCGGTCATGGGGCCTGAACGCTGTCCCTCAGCTCTTCAGCTCAAGGTTAGTGCTCTACCACTTGAGCCACAGCGCCACTTCTGGCTTTTTTCTTTTTGCTTATGTGGTGCTGAGGAATCAAACCAAGGGCCTCGTGCATGCAAGGCAAGCGCTCTACCACTGAGCCACCTTCCCAGCCCCTGTGTTTACATTTTAAAAGAAACCATTTGGGTGAATGGAGAACTTTTAGTGGGAAGAATTTGGAACTGGAGAGCAATTCCAAGCAGAGAGAATGTGAGGCATTCAATATTTAGCTGTTGGTCCATACAGTCCAGCTGCAGGGAGGTGCTAGGGTATGGCAGAGGCTATCTCCTTACTTCTGGAGAGGCCCACTCAGAAATCATATTGGTGCTTTGTGTTTGAGGCGAGCTGCTCCTGAGCATGACTTTCACCTCTGGCAGATGTTGCTCTTTTGACAGCTCACAGAGCTCAAGAAAGAGTACGTATGAACCCTCAAGTAGCATGTGCCTCAGGACAGCATGTTTATTCCTGCCTCTTTTTCTGAGTCTGACTAAATGTAAGATTTGGCAAAGGTAAGTTGAGTACACACAGGAAAGGAAGTGCAGTCAGTCCTCTCAGCATTTCTTCCTCGATGATGGAACAGTGGTACAGAGACAGGACATTCATCACAAGCCTGGTACTCGAGTTCCCCTTCCAGAGGTCAGTGGCCTGGGAGACTATAACCAGTTGGCATGCCCTCCCTCTCCATCCTGGGAGGGAAGGGATTGGACCAACTTCTTCCAGGCTATATGGTTCTTCATTGTGTTTCATAGCCTTGTGTAGTATGAAGCTAACTGGACCCCAAGGACTAGAAGCCTAGAAGTCATTTCTGGTTAGACAAAATTAATTCTAAGAAAGAAACTATACCTAGGTGGTCATCCTTCTAGCATGTCTTTTGTGGTGACTGGAATTGAGAAAAGCAGGTGAGCCAGCACTTCGGAAGTGCCCGTGGCCCCACAGTCATTGTGGCATTTGGTCTGCTCACAAGGGGATGTAACAGGGCCGATCCATGCCACTCCTTCTCTTTTACATCCCTGTGGGCTGCAGAGTCTGCACAGGCGGGAAACCCGAAGTCCACCAGCGAGTCTTCCAGGTGTCTCATGTGTTTGTTGCCCAGCTTCTCCTTAAAGGGTCTTATCTTTGGCATCTTCATGGTTTTTCCTAAATATTTAGGTCTTAAAGTTGTCATAGGGTGGGTATGTGGAACGCTTGCTTAGTGTGCAGGAAGCCCTGGGTTCTATTTCATCACTTTATCATAACAGTAATGATAAAGTTGCTATCAATTAAATCTGTTATTGTAGCACAATGGCATAACAAAACAAGCAAGCCAAGGCCCTGAGTTCAAAGCCTAAAAATGAGGGGGGTAGGGGTGGGATTCTAAGATCTTTCAACATTTAAGGAAGAAGAAGGGTTTAGAGCAGAGTTCTGTTAAATCAACAAAGCACAATTGCTTTTGAACTCAAAAGAGTAAGAGAGAAAAGGAAACCTTTAGAAATCATTTGGTTGTGTCCCTTTCCCACTAGGGAACATGAATTTCCCAGACTCCAGGAGACTCTAACTTTGCTAGTCCCTTCCCTACCCCCACCCCTCTACCCCCCATCCCTACCCACAGGAAGTCTGCATTGACATTCCCAATGACATTATTACATTATGCTCCAGACAGAGCATGGGGAAGCTTCGATGGGCTATTGGGGGGGCAGTACTTTGGATCTGGGTTCCAGTCTTACCAACTTTGTAACTGAGGTGATTGTATGATCACTCTGAGCCTGTTTGCTCTCCTGTAAGATGGGGGTGGTGATCTTTAACTCCAGGGTGACTGAGAATTAACTGGACGTGGAAACTCCCTTTGCAGTATCTGATTCCTAATGAACATTAACTCCTGGTAGACTGTGAATCTTTCTTTCCTAGAAAAGGTACCTGGACTTCTGTGGAGAAGGCCGCTGAGCAAGAGAGCCACTTCTGGGCCCAGAGGATTTTTTGGCTTTCTTTTCCCCCAGCATATGCCCTATCCAGCTCCCTTTCCCTACAGCCTGAGGGCAATCTTCTGCTGGCCTGGCCCTGACACCTACCCTATTCATAAAATTCCTATAAGCTGACTTAGGGAGAGTTCTGGGAGCCAAGTAGAGGTTCAGATGAAACTGCTGAAGGGATTAGTGAGCAGCCATAGAGAAAACACCTGCTCAGAGATGACAGCATGGACCATAGCTCCCAAAACATGTGATTAGCCAATGGAGTAGGGTTCCCAAAGAGGGGGAAAGCCATGAGTTTAATTGGAATTGCTTCCTCCAGCTCTGCACCCCTAACCCCTTAAACAGGTGGCCTCTAGGACCCTTGAAGCCAGGGACTTCCCTGTATCATAAAGCCAGCTTTCCCTGCTGGCTTCTATTTGAGCCACCCTATCAGCCATGCTGGAAATAATTCTATCCTTATCCACTGACACAAAATAGCCATAAGCAGGGTGCCCAAGGGATCCGAGCTTGTATACTACCTGCCTGACATGCATTAGGTCCACACAAATTTGAGTGAATGGTAGATCGATCTAAGCCCTGCAGGTGCCATCTTGGATTAAAATGGCCTCTCCAGGAGCAGACCCTGGCCATGGTGCTGTCAGGCTCATATTGTCCTGCCCCTATACTGTAGCTGCTGACCCCTCAAGAATCATAGGTTATTTAGAAGGCCAGTGGAAACATCTTGTCCAGTCTGTTCATTTTGCAAATAAGTAAAGGTCAGTGACCTTCTGAGGTGACTTGGTCACTAATGAAAGGTCCAGAGTGAGTATCAGAGATT